AGTTATTTTCTTCGTGACAGGTCCGACACAACCTCCCTTATTTCTGCAACTCTTGTAAGCCAAGATCTAGAGTAGATACAACTAGGAACACAACGAAACACTAAAGTCCAACGCGTCTCAGAGACATGCATGACTGTCTTGGTTTTGTCGAAATAAACCAGAAGATATTATATTAGTACTATAAAAATCATCATCGTCACACTAAAACTGTCAAGCGCTGGACGCAAGGTTACGTTCACGACAAAAAAACTCGCACTATCGAACATTTTTCACTACGCTATGCAAATTTACACTTTGAAAGGATAACATAGCTTCACTGACAGACTGACTGACAGACTATGCTATTTTTAGCGGTTTTAAAGTACCTTTGTATTTTTATAAAATATTCTTTTCTTTCTATTCTGTTTGTTTTATTAGAAATTAGTCTAGATTTTTTCAAGATCTTTACTTCACCGTCCGCAGAGTACAGGTATTCAATTTCAGAGGGAATTAGCATTTTGCCACGTAATAGGCCCAAATTAAGGCTATAATTCGACTTTAAAAAAAATACCTAAACTTTTTTAACCAAAAAGTTGACTCATAAACCATCTCATTCCTTTCTTGCTCTGAACCGTCCAGTGGTACATAACTAACCTTAACTTCAGCTGGGCAGCTTGTCACATCTATGGTGGTCTGAAGAACCCTAGACATTTATTGATCAGTTGCCATCAACCATCGGATCAGAAAACTAACCAATTCTTCCAACAATCTGTTAATAAGTACGAATATATCTAACTTATACCTAAATCGAATGAAAATGGAGACATTCCATTAGTCTGCGGAGTTATCCTTATCCGTGAAGGTTACACAAACAAGGTTAGCAATCTGTTGCCCTAATTTATATCCAACACGTTATAGATGTCAGAAGTTTTAATTAATAAGTCTGCAACCGGTGTTAGGGATTGTGGTCGTGGCATATCTGTGCGAATTATAGATATAGGAGATGTTATTTTCTATTAATGTCTTAAAGGGATTTGTTATTGCTAGTTGGATTGATAAAATACTTGGTAGTTGGTTTAATTTTCTGATTCGCCTTTGTAAAAATACAATAAAATACAATGCTAGGTTTTCTTTACGGCAACGCACCTGTGACTCCTCTGGTGTTGCGGATGTCCATGGGCGGCGCCGATAGCTTATCAGGTGATCCATCTGCTCGTTTGCCACCTATTCCATAAAAAAAACAATGCTAAAGGGAATTTTGTTAAATTTCATTAGATAGATTTTCTAGCTTTTCACTAGCTGTGTCGTGGTGGCCCAGAGGTTAAAGCGCCCGCTTCTTATGCATGAGGTGCGGGTTCAAAACCTGGCAAGTAGTAAGAGTTATATGTTTTTTTATGATTATTTAGACACCACTGACATGCGGTGAAGGTAAACATCGTGAGGAAAACTGGACTTATAATTTCTAAATATAAGTTTGAAATCGCCAACCCGCATTGAGCAAGCGAGGTGATTAATGCTCATAGCCTTCTCCGTGTGAGAAGAGGCCTTCGCTCAGCGGTGGGCACTTATAGGCTGATGATGATGATAAGATAGATTTTACATGTACAGCGTTGAAATTGATTCAATAGAGCATTTAGTCCACGTATTACAAATAATTAGATTGATTTTTTTAATCAACCAGACCAAGTTTATTTCCAAGAAAGGGATTTTTTCCGATTCAGGCACAGAAGCGAATCTGCAAGGGTTGTTGCTGCAAGCGCAATAATGGATCCCGCCAGTGATCCGGAGTTATTAAATTCTTACACTCCTTCTTGACAAAGTTCAAATAAAAAATTTAAAGCAAAAAGTGTGGGAGAGCCATGCTTCGGCACGAATGGTTCGGCTCGACCGGAGTGATACCACGGCCTCCCAGAAGACCGGCGTGAAACAACCACAGCTTTGTGTTTCGCCGTGTGAGTGAGGTTACCGGAGGCCCAATCCTTCCCCGCCCCCAATCCCTCCTCAATCCCTAAATCTCCAAATCCCTAATCCCTAAAAGGTCGGAACGCACTCGTAACTCCTCCGTTGCGGGTGTCCATGGGCGGCGCTGATTGCTTACCATCAGGTAATCCATCTGCTCGTTTGCCGACCAATTACATACAAAAAGCATCAAAAAAGAAATTGTACCCTCCAAACTAAAGTAAATTAACTTCGTAATTACAAAGTTAATTTTGACGGTTTCAATTTCATCTAAACTCAAACTAATCCCAAAGTAAATGCTCGTTATGTATTATGTTATAAATTAATCGAGTTATGTATAACAACTTCAAAAGGCTGCCGTTACAATTTTCAATTAAAAATTACCTGTTTGACTTGCTCTGCTGATTCAGAGGTAGAAGTTTTGCCTGTTTACGGATCTGATCTGTTACCTAAAATGAGAAATGTTGTTTTTGATTCAGTACTTTAAGAGTGAGGTTACCACAGGCCTTATCAAACCCCTCTCCCCTCATTAATCCCCAAATCATTGATCCTCAAATAACCCCTGGAACGCACTTCCAGTAAAGTTCTTGTAACTGCTCCAGAATTTCAGATGTCTATGGTCGGCGCTGATTGCTTGGCATCAAATCATGTGTTGGTATGTTTGCCGACTATTGGACCTTTAACATTGTATAAAAATATATTTCAAGGCCCAGCAAAGGTTTTCTTTTGATTGTGTTGTGAAAAATATTAAAGACTTATTCGGCCTGGAGCCGGCAAAGGGATGGTGTGGTTTTTAGTCAGTACGAGTCTGACACTCCCTCCTTAGCTTGGGATAGAAAAGTCATTTGATGATTTTCTCTTCATATATAATGCCCATAATTCTAACACCTTAAACATTGATAGTGTGTCTAGCTTTCTTCTGTTACCTATTCAGGAGTTAAACCTAAGACGAACGCTAGTTGCCTAGACGCATCTATTATGTATGAGACTATTTTCACTACAGTCACATTTGCCTGAAAATACGAACCTGAAACCGTTTGCTAACATGGTATGTTATATGACTAGATTTACATAAATGTTAGTTGTGATAGCTCTCCTCTTGAATGAGGGTTTGAAACCTGAGAAGTAGGTACCAATGTGTGATGTTTTCAAGATAAATGTACTTTCTAAGTTATTTAGACATCACCGCAGAAATCTATACTTGTAATTTCTTTTTCAAAATTGAATACGTCAATCCGCCTTGAGCATGTGTAGTGATAAATGCTCAAACCTTATCCGTGTGAGTAAAGGCTTTTGGATAGCTGAGGGCACTTGCAAACTGGCAAACTGACACCCGGTTTCTGAAAGGCTTTTCAACGCTAAAATTAACTATTCTCCTGTTAAATCTCTTGTCGAGTCATCTGATTGGTTGTTGATAATTCAATCAACCAATCAGATGACTTGACAAGAGATTAAATTGATTTTAACACTGATCGGCCTCTCGGAAACCGGGTGTGAGATGACCTTGTTGGTCAATTGGATGTAATGGCGACAGCAAAGCAAGGAGTTTCAGAGTTATAATTTTGTGCTAACGAAGATAATTAAAAAAATCATAAAGTTTTTGTCGATAAAAAAGTCAGGGATAGTATGATTATTAAAATATTGAAAGTGTAATTATTATAGAGTGGGTACTTAATTTTACAAAATAGATCGCCCAAACAGTTTATCGCCTCACCTGATGGAAAAGAATCAGCGTCACTCTTGGATACCAAGCTCAGCTGCAACACCAAATAAGTTACATTGCCATTGGCTATTTTGTGTTTTCTTCTCATTTTCTTGATTTATCTCGTTCCGCGATCCAAGACAATCCATGTGTCTGGGACGGGGCTTCAGTGTTCCGGTATTACCATGGTTGTCTCTATTGTACCTATATATCCTGGCTTATAGAAGTTGCAGCGGCTTTGGAAGCAATTATTAAAGAAATAGTGAGTTATCGGCCTTTTTGGTTTGTTATAGAATTGAAAATACAGGATTTGGGATTGGAGAAGTGGAATGGTACCCTTACTGCCTGACTCTTACGAAACACACATTGCTTCATATATATTTCCCATATTTTGTGAGTCTGCAGTATCACAGTATTTATAAGGAATCCTAGATTAAGTGATTATGTGTTGTAATGTAAATTTTTAACTCAATAAGATTATTCTATTTGTATATTTGTGTCACCATCTCGCAGTAAATATCATTTCAAATCATAATTATCATTAGCAGCGCTTTGCTGCACTATGTTTAGTTATATGTACATATGGCATCATTTATCACTGAGATGGAAATGCCAGTTTTCAGGAATCGAACACAATTGTGAGCAAATGTGAACGAGGCAGTCTAATACACTAATAGGATTTATAGTGATATCCACATTTATTATACACTTACGCTTTTATTGTTTCAATATTTCTACAAAATATTTATAACACCAATTTCATGGGAACATTATGAACCAATGTCAGGAAAACGTGAGGAAAACGCGTTCGTTATTAACTAAAATTTAACTTAACTGGGGTAATGGGTTGGTTTGATTATTGCCCCGAACACGACACCGGTGCCTTCGTGGCCCACCCCTAAACATAAGGAAAATTGGGCTCCAAAAAAAGAAAAAATACCCGTCTTTAAAATGTACACGCGCTTCTGAAAGAAAGCTTATTATAGGAAAAAGGAATTCAAATATAAGAAGCCATTCACTTACTTTTCGTAGTTGCCACCAGTCTGCCTTTTCAACATAATTTTGCTGACGTGAAAACTTGAAAACTGTTTTGTACAACCACATACGTATATATACCCAATTAAAATTCAAATGCATGTGGACATCGTTAGTGGAAGAGGGACAGAAGACGCTGCGAAGTCGAATCGCACCCTTTAATTCGTAACCTCACCAAATTCAGACCCTATGCACCAAAAACTTTAGGTCTATTTTCGGACGCACAGAAGTAAAGTTCAGTTCATTACAAAATGAAATGTAGGTATCGGGTGTAGGTGTAACGACGCATGCGCGAATCACACAGTCCAACGTTAGTGTGTAGAGGACCGCCGTGAGATACGCACGGCAGCGCCGCCTGACGGCCGCATGGGAAACTAAACATGAAATTCGAAATTAATGTGTACTTAACATTGTGACCGATCAGTGATTGTGTTCAGTGGATTGCATTTTTATTTTTTTTACAGTGATTTTTTTTATAGATATATGAATTTTTAATGTGCGTTCGGCAGTGCCGCATAGAGCCTACAAAGCCTTCGGAACACAGGTTCGTAAATTAAATTACTTTATTGCGTGCTCAAACTCAGAAATTGTAATGTAATATTTTTAAGTAATAATTTTGTTCCGACAGTCGGGCAACACTTTGCTGGGATATTTACTAATAACAAAAATTGTGTTGGTTGTTTGTCACGAGATGATTAAATGTACGCATATTTCTATTTCATTATTTATTTTAATATTAAAAAAATATGTTTTAAGTTCATATTGTAATCTTAATTCTATATTATTGTATAGGATTTGCTCTTTCAGCTAAAAACTTGGGTAAGAAAGGGTAAGAATGATTATAACGGTACTCCATAAAACAATTTAATGTATTTTTTTATCGCGAACCGCTGACCTCTTTTGAAGAAACACATCTGTACCGCGCGGGTATAAAACTTAATAACTAAAGTAATATTAATGGTTGGGAAATTAATTCAATTGTGAACAAGAAAAATAACTCATTTAATAGTCACATAAGGGCTATTTTTCTTTAAAAATATACATAGAGACTGGTTTAAAATACTTTAAAAAGTGCACCCTTTTTTCGGGTTATAATAGGTTCTATTGTAATAAGGTGTAAGCCAAGAAGTATCAGGCTAAATGTACAAGCCCTTTGTTTGACTTGGAAAACCTCAACTCAGTTTGATAAGTCCTGGGTTCGAACACGAAACCTCGATGCGTTGTTACTTCTAAGAAGAAATCTTAAAATATTTTCGGCACAAATGTAAATAATTTTAGTTCCAGTAAAAATTCATCATAAAATGGCTCTGCAGTAATTTTAAGACCAAATGCCGAACAAAAAGGTCCCGAAACAAAGTATAAGCTTTTCCAACACGATACACGGTGTTTGGACAATGCTTCGCAAACTGGATACATGGGGCTTGGACAAAAATTCGTATTCAGACGGATTCTTGAATCTTGGGCTGACTCTGCAATCCAACACAAAATTGAAAAATCTGTTTTATTGTGGGAGAATCACGCTTCGGCACGAATGGCCTGGCTTTACCAGATTAATATCACGGCCTCAGAAATCGACAGTAAAACAACTTGCGCTATCCTTTACATTTCAAAGCAGAGTGATGTATTTGGAGGCTCAATCTCTTCCCATTCCCAATCACCCCAATCCATAAAAGCAACAGAACCCAAATCACAATACACCCAAAATATTAGCAACGGACTTGTAACTTCTCCTCTTCTCTCTTTCTCCTTCTCTGGACCACCATTACGGTTACAAGTGAATTTGCCGACCTTCTTTTACAAAATTACACTTTAATGAACCACAATAATTGATATAAATTATTAATCATCACATCAATTAAATAAATGATTATCCATCCATCCTTTCCTGAGCAATATCGAATCCTTTATGTGTGCCTTCTCTTTCTAAAAAGCAGTTCAATTGTATGAAATAGTTTCACACAATCTACAGGTGATTGCTCATCTTATTCAAGTTTTTGTATTACTCTTTCTTCCAAATGCCTTTGATAAATGAGATATCATTTACAATTCTTTGATATTTTCATTCTTTAAATAGAAAATTATGAATAATTATTTCAGCAAAATATTTAAGGTACTATGAACGGATTATATATATTTTATTCTTAACAACCAATTGAGGTTACAAAGAGTTATAGTACAAAGCTACTATTATATTCGATCTTTTTATGGGATAGGTCGGTTAACAAGTAGGTGGATCACTTGCTGATAAGCAAACGACGCCGCCTATGGACACCCGCAATACCAAAGGAGTTACAAGTCCGTCACCGGTAGTCGTGGCTTCTTTGGTATTTGAGAGAAGGTGACTTATTCATTTGCTGACCTATCCTTTGAAATACCACATCAAGATGCTTCTAAACCGTTAAAATAGAATAAAATAGTAGCATGTTTGTCAGTTAAACTAGAGTGGAAAAAAAAAGATTAACAAATTTCATCGTATATCTTTTGAAGTATTTTAAGTATGTTGTTGCAGATAGTATGAAAAATATGTACTGCACTATCGTCCGGTTTTCTTAAAATAACGCTAAAAGAAATAGCAATAATATTCAGACCACTTGACACCATTTTATGCTGAGCGCTTTCAAGAGACTTTTAAGTACTTTAAATTAAAAATAAAAACATTCACAAGTAGCAATGAGCAAGATAGATGTTACTCAAATGCTAAAAGAGCCACTCGAAGTCCAGACTGCTCTTAATCATTGCATCACAGTTATAACACTTTCATTCTAATAGAAGCCCGCCCCTGCTTGACTCGGGTGTGTCACCTTTCAATCGAAACACGATAAAATCAAGGCTAATTTCCCAATTTTCTACTTTACTTTTCTAAAATATTCTGTCAGTACCAAATACAAACAAAATTCTCTCTCTCGCGACTTTGTGATTTGCAACAAATTTTGTGATTTTTCATCCTGTAGCACAAGTATGTGTACTATCGAGAAAAAAACTCAACCATCGTCTATACTTCACCCAACCTGGCAATGACATCTTCGCTAATAAGTTTATCTTTCAGTTCTCAATTTTAAAATTACAAAACTTAATTAAAGTTCGCCAGACTCAAGAATTGCACTAAGATCTCGTAGCCGAGCTGTTGCACTTCTGACAACATTATCAACGAGCCAATCTAACTTTGTAGATTACGTTCTTCATTACGGCTCAAATGGACACCTGGGATGGTTTGACGAAACTTTATTTATAGAAAATATCGATCAGAAACCAAGTGAGATGTTTCTCATTTCGCTATGATTCGCAATAATATTTTGATATTTTGTGAGCAATATAGTTTTACTTTGTACTTTAATTGTGGGAGAGCCATACTTCAGCACAAATGGGCCGAGTCAACCGGAGTGATACTACAGCCTCACTAAAAACCAACGTTTAACCATTCTGTTTTGCCGGTTAAGTCAGAATACCAAAGGTCCAAATCTTACCTCAGTACCTCCCATTCTCAAAAACATATAATTTCTTTATTATACTAGAAGAGCATCCAAAATCCACGGAAAACGGCATAAAACGACGTACAGAGCGATGGTAAAAAATATTTTGAATCCAACCGGTTTCTTAAAAATCTCTTAACAATAAGCCCATCTAATTCATTACAAAATATCCTTTTAAAAGGTATTATGTTGCTTTTACAGCTGTTTTCATGACGTCATCAGTTTCGATCTAGGTTGTAAGAGGCCCTTTGAGATTAAAGACAGACAAACTCATTTGTCATGGTCATTTGCAAACGTTCCAAATGAATCTCAAAGTTATATCGTAGTTGCTAGGGCAGTTTTAATTAAAATGAATTTGTTAGGAGCAGCTTTGGCTTTCAGAGTTTTTATATTAGCGAAATTGGATTTAAAAATTGATTGTGATAGATTTTTTAGGTTTGAATTACTTTGGTTGCCTCGTTAGTTAAATGTGTAAGACTAGAAGGCGAAAGAATCAATAATCTATAGGTTGAGCAAAGTGATATTTGTCTAATACTGGGATAGCCAAGTTTCCGAATTGGCTTGCTCGACCACGGCTTTTCCGAAACCTAGCGTGAAATAATGCTTGCGCGATGATAGCAGAAAATTTGCTGCATTGTCTCTTAAAAATTGATTTCATAATTTGTTGTCTGAAATCGTATTGAACATGGGAATGTGAAAAAAATTCATCCTATAAATGTTGAAGTGGACTAAGCCAAACAAACTTCAAGTGAGATAAATTACTAATTATAAAATACCCACTGATTTTCAGATTATCCTTTACGATTTTTCAAACCGAAGCTGGAATTAGGCCTCTCAAAATCTAAAAAATGCCAACCCACATTTTTAAGGAATATAAATGAAACCCGTCAAATTCGCGTGGTCCGACAATTTTCTTTTTATGTATTGGTATTGGCCAATTCCTTTTTTGTGTGATAGAACAGCAAAGGAGCAGACAGATTACCTGATGGTGAGCAATCAGCGCTGCCCACGGACACCCGCAACACCTCTGATCTACCATTAGATAGAGGTAGATCAGAGGTGTGTTAGATACAAATGCAAAGCCCAATTACCAAAATATGAAATCCTTAGTTTTCCGTATTAGATATCACAACATTCCTAGAAATAGCTATGTTTCTTTTTACTATAACGTAAGTCAAGAATAATATGTACTTATGTATCTTAGATATTTTATTACACCAAACGGACACATGAACAATGAAATTTGAAATCTATGAGCAACGTTCAGAATTTTAAATATTTACAAATTAGTTTGTGACTAACTTGACCACATTATATCATGAGCATAACAATCTTCTTCTCGTTTTTCTCCATGACTAGTTTTGCAAGCCGGCTAAGTCAAATAGATAGAACTAAATCTAGTCTATTTAGGTCAAATAGGTCAAATAGGTCAATTTAGGAAAAGTTCTAAGAGCAAAGGCAAGACTGCCACAAGGCGCCATATTGGGACCTAAATTCGGTTCTAGAATGACTACTTTATTTTTGTAGCTATCTTTAATTAACACAACAATTACGCCGAACAGCCGCTTCCTGGTATTGACAGCTCATTAATCAACAAGTAACTTTCTGTGAGAATATTTTGTGTGCCTTATAGTAGAGGTCTACTGAAAATAAAGTTTAAATTTGATATTGGCTGTTAACCTTGTCCATTAATTGTTAAATATTTTTGTATTGTTGTTATTTTTCTATGTCTTAAAGTTAGATAAATATGTTTTTATAGAATAAATACGTTACGCCAATAATGTAGATGGACTTCAATATAGTTTGAATTTTGGTAATCAGATCTAAATGAAGATCAAGCTTTTGAATCATTCACACTACTTTTAACTAACGCTGACTTGATAATCGTAATAATTCTAATATCAGCCAGGAGACCGAGAGGTATAAATAAAATAAATATATGGGAGTCAACAAACTATAGCTTACGTTAATTTTCACAACGGGTTAAGCAATAAATTACAAAGTAGCGCATTACCCGTACATACTATTACGCCGATACTTAATTACCGTCAAGTCTCTCCTGGGATCTGATAGT